GTCATGTTGAAAACCCCTTGTTATTGCAGAAGTCAGACCTAGCTTGAGTATTACAAATTTAATCTTTTGATTTGCAAACAATGCCTACAGGTGTGCAAACAATGCTTATAGGTGGTTGAACAGGATGTTTGTGTGGTGATAATGATGCCTGTAGCACATTTTGTTTTTGGGTGCTCCACAATCGAAAGGTTAACACAACAAATTTAATACCACAGCCATGAAAAATGTTAGTAATAGGAGAAATTAGATAGAAGTGATATATGAGAACTTTCTACTTTCTGTTCAGTTTTTTGTTCAACCTAAAACTGCTCTAAGAAATAGTCTCTTAATTACAAAAACCCAAAATAGTACAAACACAGCCACATGAGGAAATAGGATAACATCAAAAACCAAGAGAAATAATAACCAATATAAACAGACTCCCATAGGACATACAGGGTAATGGAGTTATCAGATACAGACTTCAAAATAACCATGTTGCATATACTCAGAAATAAAGGTTTGAGGATTGCTCCAAAAAATCTGGAAAGCATGAAAAAAGTCGAGTTTAGTACTAAAAAACAATAACTGAATCATAATTCAATGGATAGATTAAACAGCAGACATCATCAGCATCATGAAGCTATGAGCAGAAATTAGCAAACCAGACAGTAAATGTACATACAATGGTGAAAACTGAAAATGCCAAGAGTTGGTTTCTAAAAGATTAATAGAATTGATAAAGCCATAGCAAGACTGATTTCTCCTCAAATGCCTCACAAGATAGATTAGATTAGATGGATAAAGAGCTTCAAATGAACAATATCATGAATGAAAAAGGAGATATCATTCTATATCTTACAGATATTAAAACAAAAGAGGTATTATAAAAACTTTTATGCTAATTAACTTGTGCTTAATTATGCTAATTAATTATGCAATTTATATGAAATGAATACATCTTAAAAGCCTAATATAAGAAGAATTAGAAAATCTGAATTGTCTTATATATATATTAAGGAAATGAAATACTTCATAAAAAACCTTCCACAGAGAAAATTCCTCGTTTGGCTTCATTGGTAAATTCTTCCAAATACCTAAGGAAGAAATAATACCAATCTTAAACTCTTCCAGATAATATTATAGAAACAGAGAAAAGTATTCCCACTTATTTTACGAAGTTAAAACCTGGAGGGTTCGAGCTGGCTTGGACCTGCTAAACAACACAGACAACTGCAACAACAACAACAAAGAGAAAAATGGCCGGGCATTGTGGTAGGCGCCTGTAGTCCCAGGTGCTCAGGAGGCTGAGGCAAGAGAATCACTTAGGCCCAGGAATCTGAGGTTACTGTGAGCTGTGATGCCATAGCACTCTACTAAGGGCAATATACTGAGACTGTCTCAAAAAAAAAAAAAAAAATGCAGATACTGCTAAGGAAAACAAAGAATGCCTAGATAAAGTGAAAACTATACCATGCTTGTGATCTGGAAAATTTGGTATTCAGAGGTGTCAATTCTTCCCCAAAAGTCCATAAGTTGAATACAATCCTAATCAAAATCTCAGCAGATTTCTTTTTAGAAACTAGAAAATTTATATGAAAATACAAAGAACTAGGTTAGGACACCAAAGCAATCTTGAAGAACAATAAAGCTAGAAGTCTTATACTCTCAGACTTGTAGTTATCTGTAAGGATAGATAGACAAGTGGAACAGAATAGAGTGCAAAACACCCACAAATATATGGACACCTGATTTACCACAAAGCCACCACTGCACTTAATAAGGAAAGGATAGTCTTTTAAATAAAAGGTATTAAGTCAATTAGTTATTCTCAATTCAGCCTCACAACATAGATGAAAGTGAACCATAGACCTAAGTGTGAATGGTGTAAAAAACAAAAAATCCCACCCCAAATGAATAAGACTTCTGTAAGAAAATGGGAAGAAATCTTAGGATTTGAGGAACAGGGCACAAAAAGCACTTATAAAAATATGATAATTTGTATTTTATTAAAATTAAGAACTTTTTATCAAAGGACAAGAGAAATAAAATGCTACCACACCTGGGAGAAAGGCAAATCTGTAATAAATAATCTGAGACAGGATCCATATCCTGAATATATAAAGAACTCCTGCAAATCAATATAAATAGATTACTTGAATATTTTTTTAATTAAGCCAAAGACTAGGATAGGTAAGTCATGAAAAAGAGGATACCTAGATGGCTAATTTACTTAAGAAAAGGTACCTAACAGGCCAGGAAAATGCAAATTTAAAACTTTAATTAGGCCTGTCACAGTGGCTCACACCTATAATCCTAACACTCTGGGAGGCCCAACAGGTGGATTGCTTGAGCTCAGGAGTTGAAGACCAGTCTGAGCAGGATCAAGACCCCATTTCTACTAAAAATAGAAAAAACTAGCCAGGTACAGTGGCACTTATCTGTAGTCCCAGGTACTTAGGAGGCTGAGGCAAGAGGATTGGTCAAGCCCAAGAGTTTGAGGTTGCTGTGAGCAGTGACCCCATGGCACTCTACCAAGGGCAGCAGCTTGAAACTGTCTCCAAAAAAAAAAACCCCACCCCACCCCCTGCCATTAGATACTACTATACTCCACCCGAACATCTGAAAGACTGGCAAGAATGTAGAACTCTTATCTTATATATTGCTGGTGGGCATGTAATTGGTAGAACTATCTTAGAAAACCGGCAGTATCTACTGAAGCTAAAACATATGTACTCTCTGACCCACATAAGAGTGTATCCTCAAGAGAATGAGGTACTTACATGCATCAAAAATATGTTCAGGAATGTTCACAAAAACTTTATGATATCCCCAAATTGGAAACAAATACAAATTTTCATCAAAATGGATAAAATGTAGTATATTTTTACAATGGATACTGTGACGTGGAACAACATGACTTAGTCATATAGATAAAATACTGAGAAAAAAAAGTCCAGATACAAAAGAGTATATACTCGGGTGGCGCCTGTGGCTCAGTGAGTAGGGCGCCAGCCCCAGCCAAACCACAACAGAAAAATAGCTGGGCGTTGTGTCGGGCGCCTGTAGTCCCAGCTACTCGGGAGGCTGAGGCAAGAGAATCACTTAAGCCCAAGAGCTGGAGGTTGCTGTGAGCTGTGACGCCACAGCACTCTACTAAGGGTAATAAAGTGAGACTCTGTCTCAAAAAGAAAAAAAAAGTATATACTCTATGATTTATTTTCTTTTATATGGATGAATGGCTAGATATAGATAGATGGACTCCTTAACTACCCATGAATGCATAAATAATACCATAAATACTTTTGGTGCTAAGTTCAGAAGAGTGGTTAGACAGGAATATGAGGGAACATTTGGGCGTACTGAAAGATGGGGAGTAATGGGAAGCATGAGAAGGAATGCTTATAGCAGTGTTACTTACAATAGTCCCAACTGGAAATAACCCAGATAACCCTTTCTTTCTTTCTTTCTTTCTTTATTTATTTATTTTTTGAGACAGAGCCTCAAGCTGACCTCCTGGGTAGAGTGCTATGGCTTCACTGCTCACAGCAACCTCCAACTCCTGGGCTCAAGCGAGTCTCCTGCCTCCGCCTCCCAAGTAGCTGGCACCACAGGCGCCCGCCACAGCACCTGGCTATTTTTTGGTTGCAGCCATTATTGTTGTTCGGCAGGTCCGGGCTGTATTCGAACCTGCCACCTTAGGTGTATGTGGCTGGTGCCTTAGCCACTTGAGCCACAGGCGCTGAGCCATAACCCAGATAACCCTTAACAGTCGAATGAGTAAATATAATAGACTGTGACATAAGTGAAATACGATATGTGGCAGCGAATGAATTGTATCTATAATTAACAAATCTCAAAACCAGTGTTGAGTGAAATAAAAACTCATTTATAAAAGAATGCTCACTGTGATTCTATTTACATGAAGTTCAAAAATAGGCAAAACTAAACTGTATCTTTGAAAGTAAACTAGTTGGTTACCTTCTCAAAGGACAGAGGGACTAGTGATTGCACGGAAGAATAGGGACACTTGTGGCATGGCAGAGCTCTTGACCTACGAGCTAATCACACCAGCGTTTGCTTTGTGGTTTTTCATTAAGCTTTACATTTACATTCTGTGTATTTTTTGTATAAGCTTATTACACTTAAAGAGTTTGAAAACAATACCTAAAAAGGTTGTAGCTATTAAATGAGTCTTAACATTATAGGTGTCTTCCTGTTAAACTATAAAAACTGAAAAAATACTACCCTTATTCATATTCTCCTTTTGTGTCATACTGTACGTTTTCATATTATTTAATGAAACCTTTGCAATATTTACTTTTAGGAAATTTTCCTTTGTATATTGTAAAATTATTTTCTTTTAATATTTAGAAAGACATACTTTAAAACTGAGATGTTTCCATAATCTGTTTTAGCTTTCTAATCCTTTATTGCTTTGGTAGTAATTTATCAGTTTTTAAGCATGCTTTTCATTTTGATTTTTAGTTATTTTAAGCACCTGATATCTATGGGACAATGAAGAGCTTGTGATTTCTTATCAGATGACAGGCAGACCCATTAGTAAAATTTGACGACTCCTTTTAGATTTTTGACATGCAGTGATCTAGTTATTGATACCAACTTTTTGGTTTAGCATTCATAATACAGTAGACCCTCTATAAGTTGACCACCAACATACAGACGTGGTCAACATAAGGAACGAGGCCTGCTGTACTGATACATACATGTGGTGCACATCCTGTGTGAATTTAGGTCAGGTTAAGGAGGTGGTCAGTGTAGAGGTGGTCAGCTATGGAGGTTCTACTGTTCTGTTTGTCCCCCTGAGGAGATGAGGTAATCTCTGGTTTATTATCTTTGTAATTTCCAATAAGAGCCATATCTACTAAATTTTGTTCTAGTATTCGCTGAAAACGTACACCTCTACATTTTTCTCTTTTTTTTGTTGGTAAAATATTCTCTGTATAGTTTTGCCAAAAGTGGTCCTGTATGACGTTCTTGTTCATATTGTCTTTTTCTAGAGAAAATCTCTTCATGAAAACAAATTGAAGAGACTGCAGGAGAAAGTAGAAGTCTTGGAGGCAAAGAAAGAAGAATTGGAAACAGAAAATCAGGTGTTAAATAGGTGATGTGTTTTATGTGTATCTCCCTCATGGTTATTTTGATGTCATAAAATGTTGTTTCTAAGTATAATATACTTTTCAATATTTTCTTTTAAAATATGCATTTAAAAGATTTCTAAAACTATTTGATAACTCCTATTATGTTATCCTGCACTTTTTTTTTTTTTTTCCTAACCAAATGTTTCTTCAAACCAAAATGTCTCTACAGAAAAAGTTAGTCACTGGCTTTGGTAGCCAGAAAAGGTGTGAGTTCTTGTTGTTGAGATAACAAAACAGTTGTAGCTATTGCATAGTTCTGGAAACTGGCTACAACTTTGAATCAAAGGTTACTTTTTGGTTTCCTGGTGTGGAAAAATATTACTGGGCTATAACTTCTGGTTTTGCAGCCATATCCAAGCACAGCTAGTAATCAGCATTGTTAGCATTTTTCTTTCTTCTTTTCTTTCTTTCTTTCTTTCTCTTTCTTTCTCTCTCTCTCTCTCTTTCTTTTCTTTCTTTCTTTCTTTCCTTCCTTCCTTTCTTTCTTTTCTTCCTTTCCTTTCTTTCCTTTCTTCCTTTCTTCCTTCCTTCCTTTCTTTCTCTCTTTCTCTCTCTCTTTCTTTCTTTCTTTCTTTCTTTTCTTTCTTTCTTTCTTTTCTTTCTTTTCTTTTCTTTTCTTTTTTGAGACAGGGTCTCAATTGCCCAGGCTGGAGCACGGTGGCATAACAGCTTACTGTGGCCTCTAACACCTGGGCTCAAGTGATCCTCCTACCTGCATCACACAGGAAACTATGACTACAGGTGTGTACCACCATGCCCAGATAATTTTAAAAAAATTTTGTAGAGATAGAGTCTTGCTATTTTGCCCAGGCTGATCTCAAACTCCTGGCCTTAAGCAGTCCTCCTACCTCAGCCACCTAAAGCCCTGGGATTACAAGCATGGGCCTCTGTCCCCAGCTGCATTTTTAAAGCAGAGATTTACTATAGTTAAGTTGGTGGTTGTGGTATGGGATGACCTGTGTAAGTTAAAATCTTTTTAAATTCAGCTAATTAGAGGTGGCCTTCAGGACTTTGGCATGATAATCTGTGAATGCCTAAAAAATTAGCTTTGTCAATGTCATTTTTTCCTAAAGTTGAATAGCTTCACCATTGTGAGACAGGAAAAACCAAAAAATTTTCCTATTATTACTATCAACACTTAGGATAGTAGATGTGTGGGGGTTTATTTCCCATTCACGAAATAATCCATTCTCCAGTGGACACCAGTTGGTTGTCTTATAGTTCATTTCTAACATTATCACCTGGGGATAGCATCAGATGCTACAGGTTGAGAGCTCAGGGCCACATGACTGCTCCCCACTTCAGAATGCCATTGCAAGCCCCAGTAATGACCTGTGTTTCTTTTTTTTTTTTCTTTCTTCTTTTTTTTTTTAGAGACAGAGTCTCACTTTATTGCTCTCAGTAGAATACTCTGGTGTCACAGTTCACAGCAACCTCTAACTCCTGGGCTCAGGCAGTTCCCTTGCCTCAGCCTCCCGAGTAGCTGGGACTACAGGCACCTGCCACAATGCCCGGCTCTTTTTTTGTTGCAGTTTGGCAGGTCCGGGTTCAAACCCACTATCCCCGGCGCCCTTCCCTGAGCCACAGGTGCCACCCATGACCTGTGTTTCTGACCAAGTCAGGGTTCCCGTGAGCCCTGCCTCATGTTTAATTAATTTTCTAGAGCAGCTCACAAAACTAAGGGAAATACTTTATTTACATTTTATTATAAAGGACCTTACAAGGATAGGAGGAGGAGATGGAGGAGATGGCATAGAGCAAGACTTGTGAGAAGGGTGGTGGAGCTTCCCTGCCCAGGCCAGGCATGCCATCCTCTAGGAACCTGCACATGTCTAGTAACCCCAGAAGCTCCCTGAACTACGTCGGGGTTTTTATACAGGCTTCATTACAGATGTAGGCGTGATTGATTACATCATTGGCCACTGGTGATCAACTCAACCTTCAGCCCAGTGGTCATGAATGGAGGGTGGGTATAGGGCTAAAAGTTCAACCCTCCTATTATTCTTAGATCTTTCTGGTAACCTGCCCCATCCTGAAGCTGTCTAATTGCCACCAACCACCATTCATCTCATTAGCATACAAAAGACACTCCTACTGTGGACATTGCTTAGGTTTTAGGAGCTGTGTGTCAGGACCCAGGTATAAACCAAGTGTGTATTTCTTATATCGTAGTATCACACCTACATTTTAAAAATTATATTGAACTATATGCAGTTCTCTATATTTGACTATATCTCATCTGGAAAAGTGGCAGTTTCATAAGGTTCAACTCATCATTTTCTCTACAGTTGGTCCTGGAACAACATGGGCTTGAACTGTATGGGTCCATATGTGGATTTTTTTCAACCAAACCCCTGTTTGTAGGATGTAAAATCCACATATATTGAAGGCTGACTTTCTGTATGAGAATTCCACAGGGCTGAGTTTGGGACTTGAATATGCGAAGATTCTGGTATACAAAGAAAGGTCCTGGAACCAATCCCCCCAGCCTGTACTGGGAAACAACTATGTTTTTATTCGATCGAATTCCTTCTGTGGATAAGGCATTCTTTTGGTTTAGTGAGTCTCCTTTTAGTTGCAGGACTCATGAATGGAGATGGGGGGAGTGAAAGTAAAAGTATCAAAAGTTTAAATCTTTCATTAATTAGCAAACAAAACTTTTTAATAAGTTAACATTCTCCAATGCTAATAATAATCTCACATGATTAAGATGTAATGTCATGTTTCTATTTATCTTTCTAGGTAAACAGATTTTTATCTATATATGATATATAGATAAATCTTTTTTACTTCAGATTAATACAAGGGTACAAATGACTAGATTGCATTGCTTGCGTTTGTTAGATGAAGTTCAGGTTTTAGTTGAGCCCATCACACAGGGAGTGTGCTGTTATACCCTTACATTGTGCCTGTTAGGCTAGAGTTTCCCAATCCCCCGCTGTCTCCCTGCCACACATTTAACTGTTTTTCTCTCCTTTGATAATTTAGAAATCCTTCTCTTCCAATTTAAAACTATATTCTCTGTTCTTTAATACAGTATAACAGTTTTAAAACAAGAACACCTTTTTTTCTTTTTAAGACAAAATGTTCCATTTGAAGAATATACAAGGCTTCAGAAAAGACTAAAGGATATACAAAGAAGACATAATGAATTTCGAAGTCTAATTTTGGTTCCTAACATGCCACCAACAGCATCCGTCCATCCTGTTAACTTTCAGTCATCAGCCATGGTTCTGGGCATGGAATCATCTTTTCCTCCTCATCTGCAGGTATGAGCATCTAAATTTTAGGGAAAAGAAGTTTGTCAAAGATTTCTGTAGGTTTTTACCTGTTTGAATAGAGTTGAAATTCAAATTGTAAATGTGATCAGTCCTCAGAATTAGCCACAAAAATGGTGTAAACATCAAAAGCCAGTCAGTTTTAACTTCTTCCCTTTGATTTACCATAGAAATTTACTTAGAAATAGACTTAAATTTATTAGTGATGGTATTAGGAGTGAAATCTCCTGTAGAAAAGAAGACATTTATTAGAGTCAAAAGAGTAACCTAGGGTTTGTAGCTTGCTTATATGATAACAATTCTAATTAATATGAGCGTTCACTAATACAAATGAACTATGCATTCTCCACGCAGTATTTAATACTAATGAAAACTGCTTTAGGGGAAGTATTGTTTTTCCTAAATCATAGACCCAGAAACTAAGCCAGAGAGTGAAGTGACTTGCCTAAAGTCATAACTAATGAGTGACAAGAGTTGAGTTTCAAATTTAATGCTTTCTGAACCCCACACCTGGGCTCTTTCTATTGTAACAGGCCCCTGAGATATTACATCAAAGGAATCAAATTAATTGAGTGGTTTTCAGAAGATGGAATGTTAATAAGTAATTATGTTTTTGATGTTGTAAGCACAGAAGATTTTAGTCACTGAATCGGATCTCAGACTAAGTGTATTGGCGTGAACAGCAGTTTATTGTGAACAGTCTTAGTAGAAAGTTGCCGTGTTAGTCTACCTGGGCCCTGCATTAGTACCTTCTCTTTCACTCCTTGGTGAATGTTACCTTTAGAGAAGAACAGATACAGGTTTTGCTGAAGGCTCCAGCCTGGGTGAGGCAGGAGAGAAGTGAGAACTAGTATAGTTTAGCCCCTGCTACTGTGTCTTTAGACCGCCGCAACAGTCACTTCCTTACCAGATGTTACAGGCCTGTGTAACAGAGGCAGACTGAGCCTGCCGCCTACCAGTTACTTTCCTACTCATTTTCTAACAGTTTCTTCTGCTGTGCTTTCTTTATGTAATTTTAAGGAGGAACAGCATCAAAGGGAACTCTCTCTACTTCGCAAAAGACTGGAAGAACTAGAAACAACACAGAGAAAACAACTAGAAGAATTTGGATCGCCTGGGGATTGAAGTTCTTAGATAAAAAGCAGACCAAAAGAGGTGAAATCAGAGACTCAGTAAAGCTTGAAGGTCTCACATTTGTAGCAGTTAGATACTTTATTACTGTTTGCCAAAATACTTGAACGTGCCTCAGGAGAAGGTGCCAGCTACATGCTGTATTGCAGAACTATCATTAAGATTTTACCATTATACTAATGAAGACAAGTGATGCCTTAAAGGAAAGATTCAGAGAAATTTGGAATATTTGATTACCCTTTGAGGATGTAAAACAAAAACTAAATGGAACTAATTAGAGAATCAAGCTTCAAAATTGTTTATTAATTTTACTTTGTTGAATTTTTTTTTTTTTGCCTGAAATACGCCCATCTTGAAATCCCTTTTCACTTTGAGATGCTTGGCACAAACAGTAAATATCTTCTGATTTACTGTATATAAAAACTATGAACTAGTTTTTGAAGAAAGATGACAATTTAAAAGTCAACATAATGAGACAAAGGCATCTCTGTTCATTACAAAAGGCTACCTTTTCTAAAAACTAAATAATTTATTAAAGAACTTAATATTTTTCTATCTCACCGTATTGTGTTTCTTTTACTTCAAACATACAGGATATATTTAGCAATAGAGAAGATCTCATTGGTTTTGACTTTGTTGAATTAGAACAGTAAATAACAAGTACAAATAATTAAATCTTGTTCCTGTATTAAAATAGGGGGCCATTGTTTATAAAACCTGAAGCCAGTGGTATCCCTTTAGAGGTATTGTTTGACATTTAACTTTGCTTCCCACTATTTTGGACCTAGTCAAATAGTGATAAATGTTTTATTTCTGTGTGTCTATAAGTATGCCATCGTTTATCCCCCCCCCCCCAAACTGTGCACCCTTTGGAAGCTTTTTAATGTAACATCTTGTAGAGGGATTCTGCTGGAATAATTTCTTCTCAATGAGACAAAGCTCAAGTCTGCTGAAGTAAGTGGAACGTCCATGGTAATGAGCAGCTGAAAGTTCAAGTTGACGGTGGAAGTAAGACATGTAATTGAGCAGCCCTTAGCACTATTAGTAAGAAACTAGGTTTACTTACTGCATAATATGGCTGCTTATTCACGTAAGAGTACATACAGTGATACCTTGTTCCTGAAAAATAATTTCCATGGAGCTACTTAGAATAAAAAATTATAACTAGTAAACTGGGCAAAAAGAAAGACAAAAATAGCCCACAGTTACATCAAAATGTTTATTTTTGGATATAGACATTTAAAACATTCATCTCCAAGAACAGCTTCAATCAAGTATACAATAAGAAATAGACTTTAAGTTCTAATACGGAAAAGGTAACAGAATTTTTAAATGCTGCTGTAGACACTAGTGTTAGAAAAAAAGGTTATAAATGGTTTTGCACCAAAAAAATATGCAAAGAAACTTGAAAAATAGAAATTGTTTGCCATTTGTTTCTCTGGTTGCTGTTTAATATAGACCCAGTGACTGATTGTCTTCAGCACACATCTAATTTGGCCATTTACTGCTTTTGGCTAATGTGATCCCAAATGTGATCTAGATAGTGCTTTTCACTGGAGGATTGACAAACACGCTACATACATTAGTGAATCTTCACACCACCTCAGTGAGGTAGGTTAGAAATATTATACAGAAATTGAGGCACAAAGAGGTAAGTGACTTGCCCAAAGTTCCCAACAGCACAGTCCCTAGAAGAGGAGACAACTCTCTACACAGGACTCACGTGCCAGAGACCTGGACAGGGACACCCTCATGTAGCATTTAGTAAATAACTTAGATAAAGCTGTAGCTGACCCTTTTGAGTTTTCTGTACCCTAAGGAGGGGAAGTCTTTTGGGCAACTCTCCTACCCTTGGCTCTCAACTCTCCTATTGTTCTCTTACGACCTCCTTCACCGCTTTGAAGACTGTAGCAGCCTTAGATGGGGAACAGACCTCTCACCTTTATACGTATATGTAACCTATTTGGTAGTATTTTTGAGGTGTGTCCATTGGACAGACAGTGGTCAAAAGCAAAAGGATTGGGAAGGTGCCTGTCGGGGCAGTAACCGCTTATTTTCACTGATCAGCTTGTTGAGGTATCACCTCTCTTTACCAGATAATAGGGAGCAAAAAGGAATTGCATTTATCTAAGACAAATGCCCATTTAAATCCTTATGTTCCATATAGTGTTGGTAAATGACTTTAAAGAATGTGTGATCGTGTATTATTTTATTTGGAAAATTTTTTTTTCCCTTGATCAAGGATTCAGAGCACCAAAGGTAAAAGGTGCCTGTCACAGAAAAGCTCAAGAGTTGCCAATTAACGCTTTTTACTACTTCTGGTTTAATAGAAGGAAAACACAGTGGTATTAAAATTGGTCATGAGCAGCAAAAATTCAGGAATAAAAAATCAGCAATAAAAAGACTACAGTATTACTGGATAGAGAATTCTTTAAAAAGAAAGGCATGAATAAAGTGGGTATTTCAAATTCTTTCTCCTGTGAGGAATACTTTCAAAAAGTACATAGTAAGACTAAGATACCAAGTTGTATACTAATATTTTTTGGGCCTTGGGCCTCAAATATATATATTTATATATAATACTCCAGTGTGAACAGCAAATTGATGAAATGTAAAATGTATCTTTTTTTTTTTTTCTAAATCACACACAAGTATTTATAACCACAAGGTTCACCAGAAACCTAAAGCAAGGAGACAACAGTATCTTAGAAACAGGATTAGAGGAGTGAGTTACTCTTCCACAGGTCGTTCTGATCAAAGGTTTTGAAGCAGAACTAACAATTTTTGTTTTGTGTAATACCCAACATGTCCACCATCAAATACATTATGAAACTAAAAATAAAGGGCACAAAATGAACATACGTCAGGACAAAGCATCCGGGTAGAATGCTGTGCGTGTACATGAAGCCCACTCACTCCCCTTGCTTTAGAGCTCCTTGGTGAAATGGAGGTGAGTTTGATGGAGTGCCATTGGTGACCACTGAAAAACACGAGCCCTTTCAACAATGTTGCAACACTGTTAGTTTTTGGTTTAAACACACACACACACTCACAAATGCTAAGTGTACACACTACCAAATTCTGCGGTCAGCTTTTCCAAGAACTACTGGGGAAATTTTCAATGCTGCAAATCCTCGAGGTTGCCCTAACACCTCCACCTTGTTTCCAAATGACTCATTTCACATTTTGTTTTAAGCATTGGCAGTACCCCTTTGCTGCAGAGGTGCAGTGTAGTCACAAGTGCTACATAGCTGTAGTTTTCAAACAAAACCACTTATATCATTGTGCTTAAGTGGAGACTGTAGTTACAATACTGACACCTGCTTACTGGCCCTGTATTCTCTGTAAACAAGGAGGCTGTTTGCAACAACCACTTCAACTCTATTTACAGAAGGGTTCCCACACTGTACACACAGGCACAAGGGTTGGTATGCTTTCTGAAAGCTGTGCATGTGCCTTGGTGTCTTAAAAAGACAGTGCTCAAAGTGGAACCTATGTGCAAACAAGAAATTAACGACACAGAGTAGCTCAAGCAGCCATTTTGCTCCCAAGTCGTCTGAAGAACTTTGCCAGATTAAGCCAGTCCCCAGAGTGCTTACATCCACTTGCATTTCTTCTTTTCATCAAATAAGACTTTTACATGCAAGAGTTGTTTCTGAGCTTCTTCCAGCCCTCGTTCTCTTTCTAGTTTATTTAGGATCTGTTGACAATTAGAACAGTTATTTTAGATATAGTGGTTTCAGCATTACAATACTGTTTTTTGCATACCTGATGCTGTGAGTGGTAAAATCTGTATGAAACAGATGCCAACATTTTCTTCTTCAATCATTTACATACTCACTTTGCAAGTTGTTTTGCTAAGTCATTATCACAGGATCAACAACACTTTGGCTTAAAATAGAAGCTTGAAAGAAATACCAACAATTTGCTTACGAATATGGGGCCAGGCTTCCAAGGCCCTGCTTTATGCATTATGTCACAGCCATTCCAAGCACAGCAAGCATTCCTGGGCAGCCAACATGCAGGCAAGTATTTCTCCTTAAATGCAGCAGGCAGGGCATCCTGGTCAGAGACTGATACCTTCCTCCCCTCCCTCCCCTCCTGAGCAGTGAAGGCCCTCCTCTTCCCTCCCCCATCCCCAGTGCTCCCGTTCTCACCCCTGACCCCTGGAAAGAAGGATGCTTATCATGTTTAAGGAACTCATTGCCTCTACCCTACCTTAGCGCTTCACTTGATCTTCAAGTAGCAAATGGAATTGGTGAGCTATTCTCACCATTGACATGGATAGCCTGTCCCAGCATGACTGAGTGGGGGGGAATCAGGGAAGGGGGAATTAACATATATTTGGAAACAAGGCATCTGATGAATGTGTCTGTGTGAATTCCCAAAGAAAAAAATCCAGATTAAGGAGAATTAATCATAAAGGAGAATGGTTTATTGAAATAGTTGCTTAAGACAGAAATGTCATAATTTCATATAACTACTGAATACAGAATCTAGGCGACTTAACAAGCTTAGCTTTCATTTTTAGCAAATGATGATCCAGCATAAGCTGGCCCCACTTCTTAATAGGACCACTAACTCATCAAAGTTAACGTGAGTCGGTGTGGCTATAGGCCCATGACCTCAGATGTAAATTCAGGCTGGTCCAAAGGTGGGCAGTAAGATAGAACGGTAAGAAGGGCAGCCGTGTGCAGGGTCTGGCTTGGTGCCAGGATCCCCCATCTCAGACAGGCTTCCTGGCCTTCCTTTCTGGCCATTTGGGATGCCAGAGATATCCTGAAACTTACAGAATGCTATAACCAAGTCCTTGTGATTTATTCATGGGTTAAAAGCAATGTTATTTAAAATCTTACCTCATCAAAATATTTTACGATGTATTTGTAGATTTCTGTCAAGGCCACTTCTTCATTAAATTCATTTTCATGTTTCTAAAAGAAAGACTTGTTGAGAGATTCTGAAATGACTTTCTTTTTAAGAGTAGTAACTAAACAAAAGCTATTTGTGCTTTCTAATGATACCTTAGATTCCTGAGTTAAGAATTCTTCCATTTCTGAAGATGACAATGGAGGCAAATCCCTGATTGCTTTGTAATAAGATTTTACTTCTTCTTTGTAGGTTGGGATATCCTTGGCATACAGAAGTTTATTAGTTGGTGCTTCCTGAAAAAAAGCAACCACCGCCAAAAGAGTAAAAAACAATGGGGAATTTATAACAGTATTACTTCCTGCTAACAAGGCTTTGTGCAGTAGGCCTTAATAAATGTTGTTGACTGAATGACTGACTGCCATCTAGATAGTTCTGGTGAGTCACTGTTATTTTCAGGCAGATTAAATGCTAATATATTCTGCCTTCCTCTCATAAAAGAACTAAAATTATTATTTTTGCATGATTTTGAGTTACTGTAACAATGGAAGTTATTTCAATCATAGTTCATTACTAATGGTTGTAAAAAGCCTGAATTAAAACATTTGCTCTCATCCTCACCCACCAGCGAATTTGGCATTTATAAAAGACTTGATTGTAGGTCTG